ATCGGATTTAGAAAAAAAAATTACAAACGAGAAAAGGCTACAAAATCTCTCACTTCCTGAGAGTATAGTAATTTCTAATTTCGTCGCCTTTCAGAGATACAAGCAACAGAACCTTTAATTAGTCGAGTTAAGAGAGAAACCAAACACACAATTTGACCTGGAACGGCGCGACTTACGGAGAAATGATGACGAGGATATGAGATGAAAAGGAGAAGCCCTCGGCGCGGTAATCGGCATGTAACACATATTAGCGCCTTCAAGACTGCACGAATACTTCACGCATTGCGCCAAACACAGTGCGGTCGGCGTGAGACGCATAGCGCTTAAAAGACTGCGTGAATACTTTACGCATTGCGCCAAACACGGTGCGGTCGGCGCGGCGGTGGAAGTTAAAATCATTAAACCAAATTTTGTGTTTGTTCTTTCATAATTTTTTCGTTCATTTCTTATGAATGGAAGGCCTTGTCCATTAGAGATAGGTTCACGAAACTTGACTTTCTCGCAAAGTTCCATGACCTTTTCCTAGTAGTGTTGGCAGGGCTTTCCAAAAAAATGTGTTCAACACGAGTAAACGCGTCTCATGCACCCCTCCCCCGCTGGCACGTTCACTTGATGGTTTTTATTGATATTTCAAAACGAATGAGAAGGGGGCGGCAAGTAGGAAGATGCGGCCCTGATTCGAGGTACTCTCATCTTGGTGCACTCATTTGTGACTCCATGAGTGAGAACCAATCAGAATTGGATTTTTTTTAGGCCACTTTTTCAGCCCAACCAAAAGTGAGATGTCGTAACTCTAGGTATAAAGGGACTCTAAATTGAACGAGTCCATGCTGATGAGGAATAGAGCTGCGCGATTGGTCGGCTTCGTTGATCTTCTTCTTGCTATTAGAAAAGGTCGGATATAAAATTTAAGACTGAGTTGCAAATTTTGATGTGTATTTTGTCAAAATTTCCATTTCAAGGGGTGATCCTGAAGGAAAAGTTTATGAAAAACCTAATGGCACCAATTTAAACACCTCCGTTTCACATTTCCGTGGATACAAGCCTTGAAGATTTCCAAATTTCGTCCGATTTTTCCCACCATCGTGTTCTACTGTGCGTTGGGTGGAGTCGACGACAAGTTAGATCTCTTGAGTTGCCGAAAGTTGGACTATATTTGGACCGAATTTATCAGAAAGGAACCAACCCACATTTTCGAAAAAATTGAAAGAATGTTTTTGAGCTCCACTAGCCGTATATTTTTCTACTTCTAATTTCTAAGTACAAGAATGTGCATCAAAATACGATTCTGTGACCAGCACCTTGATCCATTACGCTGCTGAACCTTCCCTTTTCCCTAAAAATTACGTCACACTGGGATTGAACCTTTCTCCTCTCAAAATAAGTTAAGCCTCAAAAAACCTTCATATTCCGTAGAGTAACTTGATAGGGAGCTACTAATTGTAGTTACTATAATACTAGAGAGGGGCAACGCACACTTTGACGCTATGTTGCCGAACATATCAATATTGTTTTGATTTTTCTTTAAAACTTCCGCACATAGTGTCATGAAAATTTCAGGGATTCGATTCGATTTTAATGACAAAAGAAATATTACATAAAATCTTCCAGTGATTATGTTCATTACTATTTCTATTAAAAATTGGACAAGTTGTAGAAATTTGGCAACATGGTGCCTAAGCACTAATGGCGCTTTTGAAACTTTGGCCAGAAGGTGACGCATTTTGCTAACGCTAACGCTTTGTGTCCGTTACTACCCGTACTCAAATGCTAATGAAAAAGATTTTGTAGGTTTGTTGTTTTATAAAATCGATAATTTTTACGAGGGAAAGAAAACTTGAGTAAATTCAAGATTTTCCAGAATAGGAAAATTATCCAACTTCGCTTATGAAAATATGAAATCCCCGATTTTATCTCATCCCACGCAACAAATCAATTCAAGGAAAAATTCGCGCAGACCGACATGTATTCTTTGTAAAGGGTTTTCTGTTTTCTCGTCTTTCCATGAAGTGAAAACATTCCCTTGCATCCCCGCCACTCCCAATTGCCGGACATTCTGTTTATCGACGCATTTGACACGAATTTTCCGATCAAAGATCCAATCAAAACCTACAAACTTGGACGGAATCATATCGGCGCGGAAACTAAATTGGCTGCATCATTACTAGCCGCTGAGGAGTCCCGCGTCCGTAGCCCGCGAAACTTCCGTATTTTATTGAGTTAGGAAAGTTTGAGGTTGATTCGGACATCCACTTGTCGGAGACGGACACTTTGCGAAGTGGAGGCTTCATTTGGTTCCGAACCGACAGCGGGCGTAAAATCGGAAAAGACTCTCCCAAGAGCCCACGACAAACAGTCTCCGCTCTTCGCCGAGTCGCGCGAGATCGCGCCGCGCCGTGCTCGAAACGCCTTCAAATAGGCGTGTAGGCAGAATCACCGGCTCGGAGTTGAAACAGTTGCCTTCTTGCAGGCGCTGAGATATGCCTATCGCAGGCGCACAGTGTGTCAAAACCCCAATCTAGCTGCTCAAAACCTCTTTTCGTCTCTTTTGTTCGGATAACCACCAAGTTTGGCACAGGCATTAGTGTAAGCTCCAGGAGGAATCCTGAGAAGGATTTTTGCAAGTTCAAAAACTCTCTGGAAGGAATCTGACATCGGAATGCAAAAGTATTGCACTACTTCCAATATGGCAGCCTTAACAAGGCGGGAAGTTATCATCTCGGTTTCTTAAAAGAGCGAATCTAACGGAAAAATGCAAAAATATTGCATTATTTTCAAGATGAGGCGCTTTCCGCCATTTTAATGGCAGTCAGATTTAAAGTAGCACAATATTTTTGCATTTAATGTCAGATTCGTTCTTTCCGTGCCAAAAAACCAAGGCACTCCAAGTTTCATCCCACACGGAAAAAACGGTTTTAGGATCGGGTACTGCGGCGCAGGGCCCGGCCCCAAACCCGGGTAGGTGAAATTGCTTCACCTAAACCTCGGAGGGTCGGGCCCAAGCTGAAGGTAGGGTCCAGCCCTACCTGCATATCGACGCCAAGCGTAAAAAATCCGTGCCCTCGCATGGATTCGAACTCGCATCGCAGAGATAGTAGACCAGCGCGGTACCACCAGGCTACGAGGCCTCGATGAATGAGGCAGCGAATTTACGCCTCTTGAGTGCAATTCCCCCTCTCGGCATATCAATGACACCTGATCATACGGGCATCAGTCCTCAACTGGCGTTCAGCGAGAAATGACGGTATTCGCTACTCCTGCGCATGCGCGCGCATGCGCAGTAACTAAAACCTCAAAACCCAGTCGGTGGCAGCGTTCGCAACTAGCTCATGGAGGCATCGTGCCTATAATCTGTAGGGACGTGAGCTACCTCTCACTGCCCTACCTCTAGTTAGGGCCCCATCCTAAACTCGTTTTTTCCGTGCAGTCGACCGGTTAACGACCAAGGTATCAATTTCTCGTCATTATGAACTTAAACTGGTCGTCATTATTAAACGGTGATATATGGCAACCTGCAGTTAGCCCCCCCCCCCTCCATCGGGAATAACCAGGTAGACGTACGAGAAAGATGTAAAAACTTGTACCCAGATATATCGACGGTGAAACTACCAAACCACGTATCTCGTTTGCGGTGTTTAAAAATCTACGCTCGCATTTTATTTTTTTGAAGTAGACCAAATCAATATCATTCCTTGAAATTTTCACAGAATTTTCTCCGCACGAAGAGGAAAAATCACAGAAATTTTCAAGACTGGACGTTGAGTAGTTTTTCATTTAAAAAATAAAGTATGACAGGAAGTCTGCGACGTCGCAAACCGAGATACGTGGTTTGGTAGTTTCACCGTCGATATCTGGAATAATCGCTGCAAACCGCGCTTCGATATCTCGATCGAGTAACATGTCACGGTCGAATATAGACATTAAAACAAGCGGGAAAGTTCCAATACTGTCGTATTAGAAAAGCGCTCAGGTGTTAGTCGATGTATTTAGTGAAGAAAGGAAGTATAAACTCCGTCGACTTGGCTGGGTAATGGAAATAAAACATCAGCTGATAGCAAACGAAGGTTACCAAGGAAACCGTAAACGCGTTTTTTCGTTTCCCGAAAATGATAGTCACCGTTGAGCTCATCAGGCGCGTTTTTTTTAGGCTTCATTTATTTTCCACGATCAATTTCGATAAGAATTACTCTACCGCTAAGGAATTTTCTTATAGACAAACGATCGAAACTACCCGCGCATTACGTTAAAAGCGTAAAATACGGTTTTCACAGCTTTATTTATTTTAAAACTGGACCCCCCCCCCCAAAGCCTACACATCGATGAGCTGGTGCGTCATTTAAACGAATTAGCACTAGTATACTAGTACTCTAGAGGCAAGTCGAAATCAAAAAGCGCTGCCTATCGGCTGAGCGCTTAATACCCTCAGAAATGAGTGATAATCGGGGACTTTGTTCCCTCCCTCAATATCGCGAAAACAGTTCGTATATTCAATCTTAAATTTCAGTGCACGTATAGGCAGTATGGGGTCATCCAAAGGACGAAAACAACCTCAAAGGGACCCCAATTTGAGGGGCCCAAAATCAGGCAATTTTGTGCATGGCTCTTCGTGTTCTTTTTCAAGCAAGCTTATTCATCTGAATATCGCGCAAAATACACGCTTGTTCCAGCGGTTTTGTAAAATCATAAAAGCTATTCTCATCTTAACATCGGGGCAAATACGCAGTTTTGCCTAGCGGTTTGATAAAAACACACAAAAGAGTACGTGTTAATAATCTGAGCATCACGGCATTCATGAGCGTCAGTAATCTGAGACAGGCAAAAGCCAAGATCTGCCTTCATTTTCGCGTGATACCACATATCTACTCCAGAGTTCGAATAGTTGCAAGCGTAGTTTCCACATTTAACTATAGGACCACAATTTTTCTTTTAGATGAACAGACAGCTTTTAGAGATTAATTCATCATTTTGGAAATGCAAGAATGAAAATTATGGATACATACCGATTGACAGCTGACGACATGCACTCCTGAAACAGAGAAAATAACATTCAATGATAAAATAGGGCAGAAAAAGATCAGATCAATGACAAAATGAGGGTGGGGTTGCAGCAAAGTAACGAGTTAAAAACCGTAGCCTAAAAATCTCTACCCTATAGATCCATTCAATCTTTTTTAAATCAAGGGCGAGTCTTCATAGAGTCTCCGCCTCTTTATCAGTCAGCAAGATAGCTATTTTCGTGTCTCGTCAATTATTTCGATACTGATGGCTTCGGTTCAAGCAGTAAGTTTTCCTGCGTTACACCACCTAACGTTGATCGGAAAATCTGGAATTTTAAAGCAAAAAGAAAGCTGACCTAAATACGTCGTTGTTACTGACATTCTTGCGATTTTTCCAAAGATTTTCTTAAGAAAATGAGAAATCGCACATTAATCTTCGCAATTTTTTGGCGGCAACCACGCGATTTTGCAGCAGTTTTGTAAGAACATCAAAAATTACGCTAATTCTCCTAATTTTCGCGGCATACATGCTCAGCGGTCGATGAAAAATATATGGGATCGCACAATTTTCACCCAATAGTGCTTGAAACTCGGCATGAAGTCTTAGCAGCCATCTGGCGTGCAACTCTTTTTCTTAGGAGCCAAAATGAGAAATTGTCTTTTCGAAATACATCGAGGCAGGAACACCCTATATTGAATAGTAATGTTAGGACAAGACCCAATGCGTCACGATACTTGACGAAGACGGAGGGGAAGAATTGATAACACGACAGATAACACCTTGCAGAATGCGCCGAAAAATCCCAAAAAACGGAGTTTAACGACGATTTTCTTAGCGGTTACATTTTTTAGCGGCCAAAGGCGATTTCTTACCGGGAAATTGCTGTTTGGCAGGCGTGTGTTTTAAACACTGTTTTTACCTCAATATTGCGAAAGATACACGATTTTTAGATACGCGAGCCTAATGTTAGAATGTCAGGAATATGAGATACGAAAAAACGTAAGTTTCTCCTATACAATAGCGCGTGATACTATGTACATTCATTTTCGCCTTTTAAAAAGTGAGGAGTTACGCACAATCCATCTCAATATCCCGAAAAGTACGCAATATTCCCAGCGGATTCGTTAAAGCCTAGACAATTAAGCGCAGTTCATCTCGGTATAGTGGGAAATGCACGACTTTTCCAATATTTGTTCAGAGGAAAAAGAGAACTTACGCGTTAATCACCGCAATATTGCGGCAACTACTCACTCTCAATATCACGGAAAATAAAATCAATTCAAGATAATTTCTTGATAACTTTTAATTTGTACGTTGCATGCACTCTCCGATAGTTGTTGAAATATGTTTAATTTTGCCTTTGTAGTGCTTACCTTAATATTGAGCTCTATTCTAAAAGTAATATGAATTTTGGAATAAATCACGGCATTAGGTAAGTACTCAAAAAGCGAAATTAAAATATATTTATCCAAACAGATTCCTTGATACTTACGCAACGCTAACTTGCTGAACTCAAATTAAATTTCAGCTTTAGACTTTGAAATTCTATTGCGAGGAAAGTGAATATTGATCGAATAAAAAAACAACAAATTGAAAATATAATTTAAAGTACGTACCAGGAGAGGGTTATCCAATTGCCCGACGCCACGCTGAAAGGACTCATAACACTGTCACAAAGCCTGAACTAAAAAACTTGGCCACGAGAAGATTTGAGATATTAAAGATAATAGTGTGGAAATGTGCACAGGTTCACTGTGAGGTGCACAAAATGTGCGAATTTACTGTTCTGATTTAAATTCTGCCCATGTTAGGTGTGTACAATTTATGTAGTTATACAAAGCAAACAAATAAAATAAAATAAAAGAGAAAATGATCGATGATTTTGTATGAACGACCAATTTACTCAAAGAATACACGCATGACACTTCATAGAGACTTCTTTCAAATCCTTGCTTACGTCAGTGGACACAAATGCAGCGATAGTAATATTGATTACTTCCTGAAAAATGTTTCGTGAGACTATTATTCGTCACGTGGTTCAACCGTCTTAACGTAGATGCATTATTGTCAACTTAGTGCTACATATTTCTAGACGCTTGACGTCAAAAAATTTAAATGAATGTTTCCATTATCAAATTTAAGCGCTATTGTTTTAACTAATTCATCTAGGTTGGATAAAATATTTTGGAATACGTATAATTTTGTCACTGGTCCGATTTTTATTTCAATAATGATACATTTCTCCAATTTCTCTCGCCAGAAAAATAATATTTCAAAAATGTTTTCAACTCAATTATTTATAGATCTAAATGCTAGGGTATATTCATGAGGAGTAGCGGAACAATTCAATTACTACATGTTAAGCACAGCTTTTAACTTCGGATTATTATTCTTCTCCAATGTCTCTCATCACAAAAAACAAAAAACAAAACAAAAGGTACTCTCAACTCAAATCATAGATCTCTGAAATTATCTTGTCTCAGCTCAATATGTAAGTGCTGTTGTCTCAAACTAATTCATTTAAATTCGGATAAAAGTGGGTCTAAATTTTGAAAAGCATCAACAATTTTTCTTCTCCAATTTCACTCATCACAAAAAAACAAAAGGTGCTCTCGGCTCAACTCATAGATCTCCGAAGTTATCTTGTCTCAACTCAAGGTGTAAGTGCTGTCGTTCTAAGTAATTCATCTACATTCGGATAAAAGCGGGTCTAAATTATGAAACCTGTGACAAATTATTCGTCTCCAATTTCTCTCATCACAACAAAAGCAAAAGGTACTCTCGGCTTAACTCATAGATCTCCGCAATACTCTTGTCTCAACTCAAAACAGTACTAGAGTTGTAAGTGCTGTCGGCTCAACTTATTTATTTACATGCTGATAATATCGGGTAAAGACCATGAATAGCGTGAAAAATCATCACTGGACGGAACTACTTTCATTTGAAAAACTTGGACTATTCTCTAATTTCTATCACCATCAGTGAAGTAAATCTGAACATATTTTCCACTCAATTTATAGATTCGAATGCTAGTGTGTTCCTCTTAGGAGTCGGAAGCAATTCAATCACTATATGCACAGCATGGAGGAAATGTATTGCACGAAAAAAATTGGACGAAAATACTTGAAACCCACGACATAGCTCCTCTTTCGGATTAAAATAAATTCCTCCACTTGTTCTCATCACAAAAAACTAAAGATAGGTATTCTCCGTTCCACTCATTAAACTAGGTTCTCTTGACTCAACGCAAAAATCAACTAACTGTGAGTGCTATCCACTCAACTCATTCATCTGCATACTGATAAAATCGGGTTTAGATAGTGTATAGCGTGTTCTTCAGTCATTGAACGCTAAAATTCCCATTTTTTAAGAACACCTGACCTTCTAAAATTGTTCTTATGGGCAAAACAAAATTTAAATAAGTATTTCAGACTCAACTCAGAAACCTGAATGCTAGTATCTTTCGATAAGGAGTAGCGAGAAATTTACTTACTGTGCGTATGTTCGTCTCCGATTCCTCTCGAAAAATTAAAAAACGAAGGGTCCCCACTATTGGCTAAATTCAAGAGTCAACTAATAATTGATTTAGTCTCATTACCAAGTGCAGTCGTCTCAACTCATGAAACTACCTGCTCATAATCGGGTTCGGAATGTAAACAGAGTAAAGGCCCGTTACTGAACGGTCCAGTTTTTACTTCAGAAGCCTTGTGAATTATTTTCCCATTTTGCTCATTTGCAAGATGAAATTTAGGAACTACATTCGACTTGACTAATTAATCTGAGTTTTAAAGTGTTTTAATTATGAATATTACACAATTTTGTCACTAATTGCTGCAGTTTCTGTCGAGTGGTTCCAGTGAAATGCTAATTTTTTTTCTTCGTTTGAGCCTCATTTTTTTCGGCTTCAAGAATTGTTTTATATTCAGGCTGAAGTACAGTCTAGGGACTACTAACCATATTTTAGACTTCAGTACTGGATACCTGCAAATTGTTGTACGTCGCTATAAGCTTACCACCTACTCGTTAAAAATAATTGGGACGAACCAGGTTAGCACCGACAGGTGAACGAAAATGTTCAGAAAGGGGTAAAGTACAAAATTGTGGAGAAAATTTGTTTATAAAATAATGTACGTAGGTAACTCTACATCGGGAACTACAAGAAGGAAGAAACGACTGAACAAAAATGTTTGCGAATGTTCAAAGAAGAAAGAAACATCATTTGAAGAATCATCTATTTGACACCCTTTCTCCTCTTAGAGAATAAACCATAGCGAATACTAACGAAACAAAAANGGGGGGGGGGGGGGGGGGGGGGTGGTGGTGGTTTGTTCGTCAGAATAGCAGAATTATGATAATGATAATAAAAGGCGTGTCTTGAAACCAGGATGATACAAAAAAGAGATAATTTGCTTGTGGATAATCAAAAACTGAAAAAGGGGAAGAAACCAAGAAGCATACTTAATGCATGTTCTTCAAACTCCAATATATTGAAGTCCAGAAGCTGGTACAGCAATTATCCAATTATTATTTTTGTTTTGATGGATTTATTTGCTTTAGAAGTCTCAAAAAATTAACGCATGCTTCGTTTTTGTATACCTGATAAAAACATAAATTGACTAATTTAACGTTAAACCATGCAGTAGCGGGTACGCAAGCAATTAGTTGCGTCAGCGCTTATAATTCATCGTTCGGCTGGGGAACATAATAGAGTTAAGTTTTACAATTTTACTTCAGTAACGAACTCTCGTGAGATTTTGATTACGAGGCGAAAATGTGTGAGTACACAAGGGAAAACCTAACAGCAATATTGGCTGCCAAGTCCGTTGTTAGGACTTTAAATTTACTGGGTCAACGAATACTGAGGATTCGACAATTATTTCAAGGAATACTACGAAAAGTGATACCTTTTTCTTCGGGGGAAGAGGAAAAAGAGGTGAGAGGGAACCCGGTTTCATCGGGACACAATGAAAAATGCCTTCATTGAGGCATAATAATTTCTTCAATCTAAAATTCAAGGACTTAAAGGCGGAAGTTGATCTTCGTCCACAGAGGGTGTTAGTGGAGTGGACTGTAATTTGTACACGTTTCGACCGGAAGAAATAATTTCCAAGTTCCGCAGCGAAAATCACTGACTTTACAATGTTGGGCGAATTACCCTGACTTTCCCAGGTTTTCAACGACTTATCAAGAACTATTCACCCTGAGATCTACATCTTTTTCAGGGCTGCCCACACTCACGTTTTGCGAATTCCTCACTAATCCGCTACGCACCCTTATAAATTTTGCTCACTTGCTAGTCACCGTTCTCCATTTTTCTCACTATTCATTGTTCTCGATCTAATTCACTTATCGCTCACCGCGTTTCTTGGTTTTACTCTCTTTTCACTCATTGTGTCTCAATTTTACTACTCATTTTACTCATTATGTCTCGATTTTACAACTCTTTTTACTCCTTGTGTCTCGATTTCACGACTCTTTTTACTCATTGTGTCTCAATTTTACTATCTTCGTTCTCTCTGTTCTCGATTTTACTCCCACTTGATTTTACTCTTTTTTTCCTCACCGTTCCTCAATTTTACTCACATTTCACTCACAGTTTCTCGATTTTACTCACTCGTTACTCACAAATCACACAAGAAATGTATTATTTTAGGATCGATCATCACTTCATCGATCGCTAATCACACCGCGGGACACTATGATGGAGAATCACTCTTGAATTATTCACAGCTCATTGGAATTCTCACACACTACTAAAATGACACCCATTTAACTCACCGATGCTTGAATTAATCAAGAATTGGCAGCCCTGATTTGTTTACCAACTCAGAATTATTGGATATTCATGACTCACAACAAAAAAGACTGTTTCCTGGACAGTTAGTCGTTACGCAGAGAAAAATAATTGCTGTGTTAAGGAACAAATATTCCTACTCTTAAAAATTCTGCTGCTGATTTTCCTTCGTCTACTACTGACTGCTAAAACTTCTTCCTCTCCTACTATGACTGTCGTTGTTTTTATTTTTGATTGGCTTGATTTCCCAAATCAAGGGATTTTTACAGCTGCTGTAACTGCTATGGCTGAAATTCGACGATCATCGTATACAGCTAGAAAGGTGGCGAGCTGCATTGACTAAAAATATGTTCTTTTCCTATCTTAGCTTAAGTGTTGTAACTATTTGAAAAAAAATTATCTTTGAATTACGTAATTAATTAAATTAAGTTCTTGCATGTGATAGCGATTTGCGATTTAAGGTGATTCGACGGACGCCATTGTTGTGTCAGAGCGACATGCATCGGATCGATTCGTTCCATAATTTCAGCCACTTTTCATTTTTTCCGAATTTTAAGATTGCACTTCTGTTGTCATGTGACTGAAGCGTCCATGTTCCGAATTTGACAAAGAAATTAAACGTATTAAAGGCGGGGGTTTTTCAGAGGAAAAATATTCGAGTGTAGTTTCGTGATCGGTATCGAATGCGATATTTTTCCTCTAAGAAATCCTGCTTTTATTGTATTGAATTTCTTTGTCAAATTTGGTACATGAATTATTCTTCAGTCTCGTGCCAATACTTAAAATTCGTGTGCGAGCTTAAAATTCGAAAAAAATGACAAGTCGCTGAAATTATGGAACGAATTGATGCGATACATCGAAATGTAGAAACTCCCGAAGAATACGCTATGATTAAATTTACTATCGACTTTCTTAAGGCGACTTTAATTTTTAAACTATATTATATTATTTGAGCTGATTTCATTAAGGTGATTCGATGGACGCCATATCTTGTGTCAGAACGACATACGATAATTCGCATGTCGTTCTGACACAAAATATAACCTCCATCAAATCACCTTGAGATCAAGAGTGAGGTAATGCGAGGGATAAAACCATCATACGTCCTACTTCTACCTTGAACTTCCTAATCTCAAAATATCCCGTAAGTTCATTCCTCCCAGAAAATGAACAAGCATCGATCTGTCGAACAAATTTTGCTGTAATACGAGTTTTGCTTTTCACTC